CCCAAACTCGCCCCTTCCGACTGCACTCCAAAAACGCCTGGGTCGGCGACCCCGATCTCGCCCCATCCGGCTACGCTCCGACTGCGCTCCAAACGCCTGGGTTTGCGACCCCGATCTCGCCCCATCCGGCTACGCTCCAACTGCGCTCCAAAAGCATCCTGGGTCTCCGACCCTGATCTCGCCCCATCCGGCTACGCTCCGACTGTGCTCCAAACAACTTGGGTCTACGACCCCGATCTCGCCCCATCAGGATCTACGAGCTCCGGCTTGCCCGATCCCAAACTAAGTAAACAAACTGCCTCACCCGATCCCACGGCGTGCATTGACGCCAGGATCAGCAAGCTCCATCTCACCCAATCTCTAAATGACTAAACACCACAGCTACGCAACGACGCCCTGGTTGATAACTCTGCCTCAACTAAAAACACGCACACACGCCCGCTAACGAACACCCCCCGGACGGTTCTGCCCGAACCGCCCGGGGGCTCGAGGGCTACACCCGCGGGTGCGCTCACGCGCACCCACTGACGAAATGAAAGCCTCCCCCGCTGACAACACAGAAAACCCCCCAGACGATTCTGCTTGAACCGCCCGGGGGCTCGGGGGCTCCTGTCGGGTTCATAAACCTGGGGTCCCTCAGGGACCGGCTTCCACGCCAAGGCTCGGCCCAAGCATACAGCACACAACTCATGGGCTAGCCCAAATACCTAAGTGACAGGCCGGAGGAGTGATCCAATCTCCGACCGAAAGGTCAGGCCGAGGAGGAACAACGCTCGTTTTTCGACTCCGTCCCACATCTCCGACCAGAGCGCTCGATTCGGTCGCCAGCCCGCCTCCGGACGGCCTCTTCGATTGGAAGGCCTGGCCAAAAGCACTGCTTTCGACTCCGACCCCGCACTCTCCGACCAGGGATACGCCCATCCCCTGCTCACCGCTCCTCTCTGACTGGCGCGATCAGAGCCGACTGGGATCAATTGACCGGGGACGCCCGCTCGGTAGGGACTAGGAGACGTGCGGAGAAAAGTGGGGCAAGTCACACAAGTCAAACCACGATACTAGGGACCATACCCTGTACGCCAGCAGGAACGGTACTACGCAACCACCCTGACACGCACAGTGTTGTAGGCGCCGACATTTTCCCTACAGTGTTGTGGGCGCCATTGACTCCCATACGGTAAGGCTCTCCCCACATGCCTCTGGGCATCGACAGTGTTGTGGGCGCCGAAATTACCGTACCGAGTAAACATGGTGAAAACCCCTCACATGCCTCTGGACATCTATAGTATAGCAGATACCGACATCTGCCATACCCGAACAAGACGACGTAACTTTCCACAAGCATCTGACATTCTACATTGACATCAACAGTGTTGTGGGCGGCTACCATTATCCTGCACCCGTCGGCGTGGGCAATAAGGCTTAGAAGCATTCGTACTCTCTCCCTCTCACTTGTAAGGCTGTCCCCTTCATCTATAAAAGGGGATGCGCTCTCTCCCTATAGACCCAGTTAACCAGAGTTGATTCAAGCTCAGTTCTTTTAGATTAATTAGATCGACCAAGTTCACTAGATCACAACCACAGAACCGTAAGGTTCGGACCTCAGGCACACGTTTGAACACATAGCTTATCGTGGAGTTCCTGTCGCTCTCGGCCCTTCCGACCGGAGCTGACCGGACCTCTCGTACACCCCATCTTTCTCCTTCTCGTTTGTAACCCCACTGTAGACTTCGAGCACCTGGGTTCAGGAATAAAGTCACCGACCGACTCAAACTGGACGTAGGGCACGTTGCCTGAACCAGTATAAACCCTGTGTCATTGAGTGCTAGGCCACCTCCGATCACAACGTACGACAAAACTATAAGTATTTACGTGTTGGTCACTTTCTGCACCGACACATGGGGATCTTTACCATAACGTTATAGTAAACAACTTAGTAAGGAGTTACTATAATCTCGTAAATTAACATAGTAATTATCATAATTCAAAGTGGCTACAGAATAAGTTATTTTGTAGACAGCTATATATATATGGCTATAAAATAACTTATTATGTAGCCACTTTAAGTTATGATAATTACTATGTTAATTTATGAGATTATAGTAACTCCTTACTAACGTTATGGTAAATATCCTGTTATAGTAACCCAACTATCGTAAATATGTATTGACATTATCGTAAATGGAGGTGGCTACAGAATAACTTATTTTATACCTGGTTACTGAATATTCTCTCTCTCTCTCTCTCTATATATATATATATATATATATATATATAACTAAAGTCACCTGTTCAAGCGTCACGTACACACATGCACACAGACATCACTACCGGAATCGAAGGATTTGTCGAGTGTCATATTCTTTGCCGAGTGTATTTTATCGGACACTCGACAAACCATCTCTTTGCCGAGTGCCAAACTAAAAACACTCGGCAAAGATTTGACACTAGGCAAACTATCTGTTTGCCGAGTGCCTTACTAAAAAATACTTGGCAAATATTCTGACACTCGGCAATTCTACTGAAAAACACTCGGCAAACTCCGGCACTCGGCAAATATGGGAAAAACACTCGGCAAATTACGGCACTCGGCAAACATCGCGCCACGTGGCTCTCCATTGCCCTTTTGCCGAGTGTTCGTTGGGCAACACTCGGCAAACAATTTATTTATTTTTTCTCATTTGACCTTGAAACTTTTTTTGTACTCAACAAACAACATAGCATAATCCATGTTAGCATTTTTTTTGGATCTGTTTGCTAGTTTTAATTCATTAAATGCATTCTAGGAATTTAATTGATTTACGTCAAATTTGAACTATAAGTGCATGAAATAATAGAATAAAATGGGTAGAAAAATCATATTCATGATGTCAAGTCTATTTTTTGGCCCTTACGAAGAAATGAAAAGAAATTTGAAACATCTGGGTGCCAACACTCGACCATCGACATGTAGCTTATTGGTTTTTTAATTATAAAAAATTCAAACGAAGTCCGGAAAACATAGGACTTGCCATTGTATCGTGATATGATACGTAGAGGCTATGGTAAAAAATAGAGAAGATTTTGAAAAAGTTGTAATGTACATTGCTTAGAAACCGAAGCATCTCTAAGGAAGAATCATGGTATCGTGAGAGAACGGAACAGGTTTGAAGGCAAAGTGACGGTTCAATCATCGTTTGGCCTTGAAACTTTTTCTATACATTTGATTGAACTCAAACTTTCTGAGCTGGCTATTTTTCCCCTCCCATGAAAAGAGAAAATAAATAAAAAATAAAAAATAGGGGGTTTGCCGAGTGTCAAACAAAAACACTCGGCAAATCGGGGGTTTACCGAGTGTCACAAAAAAAACACTCGGCAAAAAGAGAGGTTTGCCGAGTGTCAAAAACAACACTCGGCGAAGAAAAAAAAATGACCCACCCCTTAAATCACCCACCCGCCCCTCCCTCCTCGCAGGCGCACATCCCCCTCCCTCCCTCCCTTCGCTCCCTCCCATCCTCTCCAGCGTGCGGCCAGGCGCCTCCCACCTCCCACCCGGCCAGACCCCCTCCCCTCCTCCCGCCAGTGGCCGGCCCCTCCCCGCCCTCTCTTCCTTTGCCCCTCCCTCCCCTCCCTCACCGGCGGCGCCCCTCCCGCGGATCCGTCGCCCCCTCCCTCACCGGCGGCGCCCCTCCTCGGGATCCACCGCGCTCGTGGTTTGCTCCCCTGTTCGTGACCTCGTCAACCATGCGCGAAGAGCGCAGCTCCTTCCCCGTCCACAACAATGGCGCTTCGGATCTCTAGCCTCTAGATCTCCTCCCCTTGCTCGACGACGGCCTAGATCTGCCCATAGCCGTGGCTCTGAAGGTGGAGCTTCATCTCCTAGGTGAGTGGCTGGCGGACCCTCTCTCCCTCTTCCTAACTCTCCCTCACCCTCACCCTCTCCCTCACAGATCGATCCCGGCGGGGCTTCTTCCGCAGAGGCAGCGGCAGTGAATCGTGGTCGTCGCCTCGGCGGCCTCCTCCATATAATTGGGCGAGGTGGCGCTGTCCGTGAATCGGCGTCGAGCGAGCCGTGTTCTTCATCCATGGGCGGTGGCGCTGACAGGTCTGAGCTGCGTGTGGTGCTGTCGGGGTGAGGACACGTCAGTGGCGCCGCCGTGCCCAAGCATGATGGCAGTGACGACGCCGAGCTAAGGTAAGAGGTCCCAAGGCCCAAACTTAGTAGAAATTAGGGTTTCCATTTTGAAATTTGGTGTAAAAGGGCGAAAATCATGATCTAGGGTTTCGGGAATTTGGGGGAAAGTTTCAATTTGGCCGTGATTTGCAAATTCTCCTCCTACATGCTAATCCGAACCCTAGTGGCTTAATATGCACCGTCTTAGCATAAGACATCATCAACAGGGGCTAATTAAGGCATGAACTTGGCTTAATGTAGAACATTAAGCATTAAATTATGCATAAAATGCATTAACCCATGACTAATCATGACAATTAACTAAACGTAGCCCTTAGTGTTACTATTATTATTAATTTTTTGCATTAAGACTCAGTGCATGAGTATTACATATATTGCTTTTCCATATAAGAGGTCTTGAGCATTCATGCTAATACTGAACCGAGTTTGATGGAGATTTGTATCAGGCCATTTTTTTTTTAATTTATCTCAATTTCTATTATCATTACATGAATGGTGTTTCTAACCAGATCGAGTGCAGTAATTTTCTTTGGAACTGAAATTATTACACTGTTGTAACAAAAAAAACTTACAGGATGTGCAAGGAGAATTGCTAGCTACGTATATAGACCAAACTGAAGAAACAGAACTATGTATGCTAAGTGTTTCTTTGTGATGAAAAAGTTTGATAGATAGAATCACATGCCTATATATGCCAAGAGTTGATAGGGGTATAATCTTACTGAAATTTTTATGCCTCCTGTATCTAAAATATTCCAGGAGGTATCTTCTATGCTGTATTAGCTCCTCCCCAGCTATGCCCGGGGGCCTGTTGATCCCCGGCCGGAACATGCCGACGGCGGTGGCCATGATCGGCGGCCTCGCCGGCTACGCCGCCTCCCTCGGCCAGGTATTGTAACATCCCTCGCTCATCACTTCTTCTCACCATCGTCCCAACCTCCCTTTCTCTCTGCACTTCTTGCTTGTCTTTACTTCATCTTCAATTCGGCGCCGTGCATATACGAATTACGAACAGATTCAGTTATTAGCTAGCTGCCTGTATTTGTTCTCGTCTGCTTGATTTCGCCAGGACTGTTTTTTTCACGCTTCGTCTTGTCTGTGCATTGTTAATGAGTCGTGGCCGGGTTTCCTTTTCCATGAATCTGTGCTTTTCAATGTTACAAATCTCTTAAAACCTACTATTTCATTTCTTCTACTAGTACGACTACACTGATGAGTTGTAAATGCTAATAGTAGTGGTAGTCGTCATATATATGTTGTCATCCTTCAAAGAAAATAAATTCCATCATCAAACTATACGATACCACCATCAATTTATTTCCGGAAAAGAAGGCATTTAAGTAGGATATAAATAAATGCCAAAAGGGGACTCGTATCTTCAGGATTAAAACCTGCTGCATTGCATGCTCTCACTACTAGTCACAACTCACAACAGACCTACAGTCATCACTCACCTGAGACTGAGACTGAGACTGAGAGTTGATTAAAGTATGGTTGGTGTGGTGAATGAAGGCATTAAGCACTTTCTGCTGCATATATATATATCTACATATATATTATCTGCTGCTGCACTGCACTAGCTGTATATGTGTAGACTTTTCAAGAAGCCCGGTCATATATCCTTTATTTCTCAAGAAAGCAAGTGTGCTGTGTTCTTCTCCTGATTTGGTTTAAGCTCTCCAATCCTTTTCGCCAACGAACTTAATCGGTACTTGCTCGACTTTATTGCTCCACCATAGTGTACCGAAACTTCCTACAGTCTTACAAGTCAGTACAGATGCTGGCGTCTTAAAACCATAGAAGACCTTTACACAGTTGGTTTACAGCAACAAGTAAATGCACTCGGTTTTTATTTCTACCTAAGGTAACAGTACAAGAGTCCTTAATATTGCAAATGTACTGCAGTACTTGTTTACTTTGCCTGAGCATAACATAAGTTCATGAATTTTGATCTGTTTATGTAAAATAAATTGCTCACAGTTGAAGAAGATCGTCGATGTAAGAGGAAACCAATAGAACCATGCACAAATGTTAATTCTTCATTTTTCTTATTGGTTCTCAGTAATCTCAGATCAATCATATATGTTTGAGATGATACTCTACAACTACAACTGACATTTCAATCTGTCATGCAGAACATGATGGATGGGCACCATCAGCTCGCTATGATGCAGCAGCAGCAGCACCCGCCGCAAGCAGCCACGAGTGAGAGCGATGCACGCGGCCCACGCCACGACGAGCAGCTGATGGAGAGCAAGTCTGCCAGCGACAACATGGAGGGAGGTGCCGGGTCAGGCTCCGGTGGTGAGGAGCTGCAGGAGGATCTCAGCCTGCAGCCAGCCCGCAAGAAGCGCTACCACCGCCATACCCAGCACCAGATCCAGGAGTACCCGCACCCTGACGACAAGCAGAGAAAGGAGTTGAGCCGGGAGCTGGGACTGGAGCCTCTCCAGGTCAAATTTTGGTTCCAGAACAAGCGTACCCAGATGAAGGTACTGACATCGTCACCAAATATCATCACCTGCTTGCATTCACGGTATGCTGTGTTGCTATATGTGCTAATGGAGTATCATGGATGGATGGATGGATGCGCTACTGCAAGCAGCACACAGATGGCAGCTGGCGAGTGTAATTCCTAATTATTTTTTTTCTTTGAAAAATAGGTTTGCCGAGTGTAATTCATAAAAACACTCGACAAACAATAATGGTATGCTGAGAAAAAAATTATTTTTTCTTTGAAAAATAGGTTTGCGAGTATAATTCATAAAACACTTCGCAAAAACAATAATGGTATCTTGAGAATTTTTTTTGGAAAATAGGTTTGCCGAGTGTAATTCCCAAAAACACTCGGCAAACAATAATCCTAAACACTCAGCAAACCACTTTTTTTGCCGAGTGTCAAATTTGACACTCGGCAGCCTAGTGCGTGATAAAAAACACTCGGCAAATAGCTGTTTGCCGACACTGTAGATGCTGTGTGCTGCAAAGCCTTTGCCGAGTGTTGGCAAAGTCACTGTTTCCGGTAGTGCATATTTGTCTTTTACCTGGTTTGCTCCAAGAACCGATCGACGCCCACAAGGCAGACTCCACTCTCCAGAGAGTGTGGGACCCCTGCTGGATTCCCAGTTTCCCACAACACATTTGGTGAATGTCGAGGAATCGACAGAAAAAACAAACAAGGAGGCGGTATATGTATCTGGCCGTATGCATGCCGCATGGGTCACTCACTCGATCGACAGAAGATGTACGTGGAGGTCGAAGTGGCTGGTGGACAGACAGACACACACACACACACATGCATGATGGTTGTACGTATACGGCCTGCAGATATATATATATGAAGCCAAACGTACATACATGTATCGTTGTCGATAGCCAATGTTGCAGGTGGGTGGTATATATAGCTAGCACAAATGATCGATGGCGCCATCAATAATATCTGTGATTAGTTTCTCCCCTTTTGATTAATAATACGACATCTCTAGGAGACTACATACCCAAACAGTTGTATTTGAGTAGGGGAGCAAAAAAAATCACCTCTAACGTGCTAGATTTGTGATTGCAGGAATGCTTCCGAGCGAGCCCTCGTCATGGGGTGCGCCAAGGCCTCCAACAGATGTCGCTTGGGATCCGCCGTGAATGTCCCGTGAAGCCTGTGCCCGGCGAGAAGTCGGAGGTTTCGGCAGAGACCTTCAGAGGCTACTAACAGACTAACGGAGGCCGCCGGTACTACAAGAAATCTAGTGATACATGACGGTCTACTTTGTCACAGACACCATCACGGTTAACTTACAACGATGGACGAAAAAAAGGTCATGTATCCTACATCATACATTTGCTGGACAGAATTGAGCCATCATATTGGCATTTGTGTGTTCGTCATGGATTATGTCCCTGTCCATATCCAAGCGACAGAAAACAGGTAAAAAAAAACAGGTGGGCTATCTAAAAGGACAAATAAAAGGCGGGGGGCTGTTTTAGGTACTACTTAGCTAACATGGCTGATGATGTTGGATGGATGTCTCTAGTAGTGGCTGTTGACTCGGACGATCCATGGGCCTGCGCGCGGCTTGCTTGTGTCTAGCTAGCTGGGACTTTAATTAGGGACAGCCACAGGCGATTAGCTTGCTAGCTAGCTCGCCGACGACGCCCGGCCCGGGAAGGACAAGGGACAGCAGTACAGGACAGGACACAAGCAGCAGGGACGAGGAGCACCACCGGCGGCCCGCAATGCATTATGGATCGAAGGCGACAACGAGCAGGGGAGGGTGGCAAGGGGAGGCCTCGTGCGCGTGTGGTCGCATTGCATGGGGATGCGTCGTATCCCCTCCCCCCCTGTCTGGCTCTGGTCCCGCCCATGGTCCCCCTGTCTGTCAGAGCCAGGCCACGCACGGAGCCGTGTCGCGTTCCGCCCCCGCGCGCGCGTCGAGTCCCGTCGACGTCCGGGCCGCCGTCGTGTTCATGCAGCATGCGCTGTGCCGGCCGCGACGCGCCACCGCCCAGCAGGCAGCAGCCTCGATCTCATCAGCTAGTTAGCTCCTCGCCTGGATCCGATGATCGATCCAGCAGCAACCACGAACAGGCACAGTTATTACTCCTCTCCCTAGTTGCATTGCATGCATTGGACGTCAAGTGTGTACACCATCGACAGACAGACGACATGTACATACATACTATACGTTGCCATCCGCCCCTGCCCCAGCTGCCGGATAGATCGGCCCCTGCTTCCCGTGCCCGGCCGGCCGCATGCATGGCAATGCCCAATTCATGGGCACGGCCACATGCCTGCCTGCCTCATGCACCTGCTAGCTCTTCCTCCGGCCGTCATCGTCGTCGTTGTCGTCGTCGTATTCGATCGGTGCCGAGATCTCCAGGCATGCTTGCAGTAATCCATCTCATCTCATGTCCGATTCCGATCCGGCCATTATGCATGCTTTTAATTTGCCCGCCAAGCCTATACAGCTAGAGCTAGCTACAGGTCAGGACGACGACGATGGGCCGGCCGTGTGCTCGCATGGCATGCATGAGACAGGCACAGGCAGCTACACAAGAGAGATTACGCACTCGATCGATCTGCTATTCTGCTCCATGTCCGTGTGTCGGCCTGCCGGTACGGTGTTCCACTCACCACACGCACGAATATATACACAAGTAATGGTCATCCTCATGGTCATCGTCGCCGGTTCCATTCCATTTCCACATGCATGCGCAGGCAGCATAGGGTTCCTGCTCTCCCTCTCTCCCTCCTGCCATCATGCAGCTCCCATTGTGGCCCCTAGCTTGCATACCCTCTACTACCCTGCTATACTACATACGTATCTTTTGGCTCTCGATCACCATCTTGCACCAGTACAGTGCCCGTGCTAACGCTACGGCTTCATTTAGGGATGTACATGGAAACAACCAAACAACAATTTTTTTTTCCAGAGTTCAACTTTCACACAATTGTATATGACCATGTATATACAATCAGGAAAACACTTACACACGTAACAAGACATAATAAAGTTATTTCTCGCATTAACCATATAATTTACAATATGCCTAAGTCCTTAAACATGTCTTGGAGATCTTCATGGCCACTTCATGCAAACTTCATCCCAGATAATCAAAGATGCCGTACCAAGCTTCTTAAAGTAGATATAGCTTCTTAAAGTAACTCTATAATTCACTTTTGATAAATGAAAGAAAAAATTGTATTTGATCTTTTTTAAAATTAAATAGTAGATATAGTCGTAAATATATGTGCGCAACCGCAATGGATATTTATTTGGTTGTTCCTCAGTTTCTCCCTCTCTCCCATCCTATTTTTCTTTCTTCATATAATTTTTGGGTATTAGAAAGCTAACTAATGAAAATTATTGGACAAAAGAAAAAAAGCATTTCTTCTTGGCATAATCAATTGATTTATCAAGTAAGTTTTAAGTACTCCATCTGTTTTAAATTATAAGTCGTTCCAGCTTTTCTAAATACATACTCCCTCCATTCTAAATTATAAGTCGCTTTGACTTTTTTTTTCATCCATTTTACTATATATCTAGACAAATTATTATATCTAGACGCATAACAAAATAGATGTACCAAAAAAATCAAAGTGACTTATAATTTAGAATGGAGGAAGTAGTTTTTACTATGTATATAGACATAATGTATATTTAGGTGCATAGCAAAAGCTATATATCTAAAAATTAGAACAAAACTAATTGTCTCTAGCTTGCGTGTTCTATTTCATAATGGCCTTTTATTTTCATAATCACATGTCAAGTCGATTCGTTTATTTTGTAAACTCAGTTGGGGCGTGTAGTGTGTTTTTTTTATAATACAGTGGTCTAACTCCTCTCTTTGTAACACAGTGGTCTAACTCCTCACTTTGATACCAAATGTGCTAAACCTCTTCATCGATCTCCTCTCTGTGGGCCTAGACTGTAAGTGACCCATTTTGCTTCGTTGTCCAGGGTGCCGCCGTAGGTATTTTATGAGAAGAAAGGGGTAGACCTTTCTAGGTTTAGCCATGCTGCAGACGCTCCACTGCTCCTACTAACGCATGGGGTCACCAAACCAGGTCCCACGTGTTCTTGACGGAAACATACGAGTGGGTATGTTGGCAGGTCTGTCGCCATTCCTTATTGACGCAATACCAGAACGGCACAGAGAGTTTTGGAATGGGCGCGTCAGATGGGGCCGGGCTCGGCGTGGGTTTTCCATTATAATGACAATTCTGAAAATTGCCTTGATCGGAGTCACGGATCCCTCCTTCCTATTTGCCTTAATTGACTTCCATATTTGCCTTGATTGACTTCCATTGGTTTCTATTTTACCGTAGCCTGCGGGATGTGTGAGGCGTGCGTTGAAGCCTGGGTGGGGGAGATCCAAATAACGTTGGCCATCGAATCAAGTTGAAGCCTGTGAGAAATGATTAGGAGCCATACATTTTTATGATACGGTAATCCTGGGTACAATTTTGTTGGTGCATAATGGTTGTAGTCTCTCAGCGGGAGACTTTTTTTTATGAGACCTAGTATAGTTTTGATTGGTCCCTTATAGTAGAGATGTGCCTTCGACCCTCGCTCTTCAAAACCAACAACTTATAGTAAACTAAAGATCCATAATGTTTTCCAAATAAACAGAAACAACAAGACCGCAGGAATACATAGGATCATATACTGCTGCTGACTGCTGTGCTATATATGCATGTGCAGTCACGGAAGTCTGTTTCATTCTCTGATGATGAAAGCCAGATATATATTATCCCACAAAAATATAGGTGACTAAAGCTGACGCAACCTTCAGTACCTCTCTTCATTTTTTTTGAAGGATCTGGAGGGCCGTGGCCCCTACAGTGCGCAAATTATATTAAGAAAAAAAAACATGAGTTTACAACAAAGTTCAGGCAACAAAAACAAATTACAAAAAAGATGTGCTCTCTAAAGTACGAATTACAGCCAACTTTTTTTCTCGAATACGCAAAAGATTTATGTATCATTGTATTAAGGAGAAGAGTTTAAACAATCATACAACGCGTTTCTATCGAGCGCCGAAGGAGATCGACCTAACACAGCCGAAGCTGGACCATCCTAGTAAAAGACCTCTTGTTTCGATATTACTTAAAAGGAAATAACCAATATCGACGCAGCTTTGTGACTTAGGAGGTGGCCTTACGTCTTCGTGGCTGCATGGACGGGCCGTTTCCAACTGCCGGGAAGAGCGCGTCCAGCGCCTTGGTGTTGGACGCAGTCATGTTGCTGTCGAAGAGCTTGTCAAAGGCCTCCAGCTTCGACACGGATGGCGCTGATGGACCCTTGGTGTAGCCCATACGCTACATGATCAACACCTCACCTCGCTTGGAAGCTGGCACTCGGGAGAGGCTCTGAGCCGACAACCGCCTGCTCCGCCATGGCAGCACCGGCTTAGCAGGAGGCTGCTTGGGAGGCTCGCGAATCAACAGAGAGTACCTCTTACGCGTGACATTGTTGATGAAGCTGTCGAGGCGGCGTTTGGAGGAGTCATCGTTGTCCACGGCCTAGTGGGTATCCACCGGTGGTGAATTGGGAGGGCCAGCATCCACCATGAGGTCGACTGATCCGAAGCCTGGCGGGTAGCTGAGCTCCGTGTGTGTCTTTGGTGAGTCCACTGCCCACTGAATGAGGCGCAGGGGTGGTATATGCAGCTCACAGGAGACCACCGCTGGGTCTACATCCTCCAGCTAGGGAGCCGCCACCGCCGGGGCCTCATCCTGTAGCTGGGTGGTCACCGAAGGTGACGGCAGGCGCTCAAGGGAAGGCCACGCGTCGATCCGAGATGTCGCGATCATGCGTGGCGTCCGGGTACAGCGTGAGCATCAACGGGTTGGGCTCAACGATGTCCGTCTTGTTGGTCTGCCCACCGTGCCTTGCCTGAGCTCCAGCAGCGACCGAGGTGAAGTTCGATGCCGTCTGGGCGGCCCCTGTCAACTGCCCGTGACTATCGGTGGCGACACTCGTTGGCGCAGCGGTGTCATCCCCCATCAGTCAGCGCCGACGTCTTCGACGTCTCCGCCGTCCGTGCCCACTGCCGCCGAGCGTAGTCGCACCTGGCACAGCTGCAGCTACACCCGGCACAGCTCCAGCCGCGCTCGGCGTGTCGCCCTGAGTATGCGGCCGGTTGCCCAAGATACACTCTCAGACAGGTCGTCGTTGTCGGCCTTCTGAGGCACCAAATGTGCCGGAG